ACTGGACTTTGACTGTTCCAAGGGATGGAGCATGCATCATCTCTTTGGAGAACCTCTTCCTGTGTTTCACCACCCTCACTGTAAAAGAATATTTGTCTCTATCTAGTCTGAATCTATGCTCTTTTAGTTTAAAATCATTATCACTTGTAATGTCTATTTCAACASACCCTGCTAAAAAGTTTGTACCCATCTCTCATAAGCCCCCTTCTAGTACTGAGAGGCCACAGTWATGTCTCTGTGGAGCTCTCATGTCTAAGCTAAATGACCCCCTAATTCTCTCAGCCTTTCATCATAGAAGAGATGTTCAATCCACCTGACCATTTTTGTGGCCTTCTGCTGGCCCTGCTCCAACAGTCCATGTCTTTCTTGTGCTGAGGGCACCAGTGCCGCATGCAGTACTTCAGGTGGGCTCTCATGGAGGTGGAGTAGGGGGACATAAACACCTCCCTGGACCTGCTGGCCACACCTCTCCTGGCCCTGAACAMAGCTGGCWTTCTGGGCTGCGAGTGCATATYGTCAGCTCATGACCAGCTTTTCATCCACAAGTACCCCCAAGTCCTTTTCCCAAGCAGTCTCTCAATCCTTTCATTCCTTAGCCTTTACTGATACCAGGAATTGCCCCAGTGAAGCTGCAAGAGCTTGCACTTTGCCATGTTGAACCTCAGTGTTCAAGCAGKACCTCTTCTAGAGCTTGTCCAGATCCCTCTGCTCAGCATCCACCCCTCAGGCATATCAACCACACCTCTCACCTAGGGGTCATCTACAAATTTGCTGAGGTGACMCYTGATCCCACYGTCTGTGTCAATRATGAAGGTATTAAAGAGTATTGGTCCCAATATGGACCCATGAAGGACATCACTTGGGTCRCTGATCTCCACCTGAAAACTGAGTTGTTAATCATTACCCTCTAAATGCAGCTATCCAACCAATTCCTCGTGCACTGAACAGTCCATTCATCACATTCTTCTCTSTCCAATTYAGRGAGAAAGATATTGTGGACARCTCTGGCAAAGGCCTTAGGGAAGACCAGAGAGGCAACATCCATAGYTTTTCTTTTGTCCACTGATGTAGTCACTCCATCATARAAGGCCACAAAGTTGRTTAGGCAGGGCTTGCCTTTGGTGAAGCCATGATGGCTCTCCCTAATCCYCTTCCTGTCCTCCATGTGCCTTRGCAGGCTAAGGGCATGTAGGTCTTAAAACGTTGTTTTATTCTCAAATTGATAAACAACATCCCTACAATTCATCAATAATTATTTTTACACTGACATTAGTCACACTCCCAAAGTACACAGCTCATTCCATTAGTGAAATCAAAATAATGTCAAGGTGGTAATAGTAATATATCATCAGTTCTTGATTCTGTTTTTGCTCAGGGTTCTGACAGGACAATGAGAGCCCCGCAAAGCACYGAGCATTCAATGAAAGCAGACCTTCTGAGAGTACAGGCAGAGCATAACTTCAAATGACCCTGTGCAAGTATGAAACAAAAATGGTCTTGTCACTGATGCAGCCTTTGCAGCTAGCTAAAATCAGACTTTGAATATAACAAAGASGAAAAAGACCATGTGTAAAATATTCTACATATGGCAAAACCAGAGGAGATAAGAAAACATAAAAAGATAATCACTTCCAAGAGAAAAAGTGCAAAGAAAGATCMGAGTGGGCAGAACTGCTCCAGCATTCTGTCCCCATTCAAGCACACCACACCAGATCATCTTATTCATCTACCCAAGTCTTCTTTTACTGTCAGTGGAGAAAAAGAGTTGGTTTTTGGTTTGCCATCCTCAAGTTTTGCTAATGTAACTCAGCAACTGTAGATTGCCTCCTGTAACTGGGTGACAGAACAGTATCCATAGGRGTCYRTGTTTTCTGCTCCAGCCTRSTGCTACAGTTAAGACTGATAATGGCAGCACAAGAGTAGACAGAAAACACTACATGTTGTGCTCAGTCTACTCCTCTTGTGCTGCCATTATCAGTCKTACTGTAGCAGCAGGCTGAGCRCAACATGTAGTGTTTTCTCTCTGGGGAAACTGACTGTCTCTGTGATTAAGAGTACAWGAGACTGAGTAGCACTGTGCAACTGTATTGGCATGTAAACTTTGTTCAGATCCTTGCTAAAACTCAGAATAAAGTAATGATGTTAGACAGCTTCCAGAAGCCAGCTTTTAAGAATGCCATTTTGACTTAGTCCTTTCAACATAATAGATTGCACTTTCAAATCTAGTTTATATCACMTACAGAAAAAAGTCTTTGAATGTGCCTTCTTTTTGTAAACTTTCAATAGCAGAAGTTACCCCACCTTCCTGATTTTTTTTCATGTAAGCATTTTTCATTTTAGTTATGTTGTTTAAAGTGCAATGTTGGCAATGAGATATTGCTAGAGGCCTTGAACTGATGCCTTTTGAAGCTTCCACTTTTYCCAACTTTTACTAGCTGTAAAGAATTTGTTTCTAGAAACATATAATTTTAATTGCAAAATTACCCCAAAAACATAAATGGAATTTAATTGGTTACAAAGTAATATATTGACATAATCAAGGAGTTGTTTGGGGGATTTAAGGYATAATTTATTACTTCTGGTTAAGGTACACATTTTTATTCCTACAGGCAAATAACAAACTGATTAGTAAGTGTAATAAAGCAGTTTATTTGTCTGACAATTGGCAGCTAGAAGTGCAATAACTTACTTCATCAATTGCCATTTTAAACAACATTAAAGCTTCTCATAATTATGTTATCTTTATGGTATGCAGACATAACAATAGAGCGTAACTCCTATTAATAAAAGTGATTTAATATTATGTTTCTGCCAGCTCTGTACCTTTTCACATAATGCAAGAGGAAGTAATTACTTTTTATACTGAAAGACAGAGGAATGACWTCCTTTTAGATATGCAAAGAATTTGACTATAGGAAGAACTAAMTGTGATAGTTTCTCTCAATCTATTTTTTCTGATATTCAAAACCATGCATACCATTTTTGAGAAAATAATAGCTTTCCATTTAGTTCTTCAGAATTCTGTAGTTTTCCAGTGAAGACAGGCACCTGTCTCTGAGAAGAAGCTTTTCCAAATTGTTACATAAAATGAAATCCTTCTCATGTTCCTTAATTCAATTACTTTGTCTGGTAATATCAATAGAACCCAGCTCTTAGAGACTTAAAGCAMACTTCTCTCTGACAGCCCAGCCTCACTGAATTCATTGAATCTAAACCAACACAAAAAGACATCACAGAGCACATGAATACTACACTCATTTCAGACAAATGTTATACAATGGAAAAGACTATTGTACATGTACACAATTACCTTTTTGAGATTAAATGGTATTTCAATGATCCAGGTAAGGAAATATTTACCAGTCAGATGTTCAGATGAACTAGAGTACACTGACTTGAGAAGGTCAACGAAGACTGTCTTAGTTCCCCCTACATTTTTATAGAAAGTACCTTATAAACAATTAAAAAGAAAACCAAAACCAGGAGGAAATATTACACTAAAATCATAAAACTTTCAAGAAAAAGGTGAGCAAGTTAAACGTAAATTCAAACAAGACATGACATACCTTAACATACAAAGACAACACAAACATATTCAGACAAGTTATTCTCATTTCAACCCAAAACCATTCTTCTACCACTCTCAAAGAATCACATTTAAAACTGATTCAGAAAGAGGAATCATTTTAAAGTCTTTGGCAAAGAATCAGTTCTGGAATGCTATTTTGTGCTATATAAGAAAGGTCAAAAACCTTCTTAAAATTCTAACAGATTTTAAGTTTTAATGACTGCAAACTTGTGTTCTGTATCACTGAAAACTATAGTGCAGAGTTTCTATTTTATTGCCATTTCTTATTAAACCTACATACAAAACCACAGTCTACTAGGAAGCGACTCAATATATTCAAATTTCCAATAAAATGTTCTGARAAACTTGACAGTTTGACCTTCATAMTAATTATTTTAACAAGCTATACATTCCCCTTCCACACTATGAGCTTTCAAGAAAAGGCGTAGGAGCACTAAGAAAACAAGATGGTTCATTTTTCAGACTCATTATTCCACTGTCAAAGTCGTGAACCACCTGCCAACTAGCTTATCTTTTACCCCATTTTCTGGAAAAGACAAGCACTGGTACATTTTCCTAGTTTTCTAGCACCCAAACAATCTGCTATCACTAATGACTTCTACCTTACAAATCATATCCTTGAAGCAGGGAAGTATTATGTTCTCTTATTAATGGAGAATTCAGGAAAAAATTAAAAATAGCAAATTTTGCAAATCAGCTTGTGGCTAAGTTGTGATTTCTTACATCTCTGATTTAGCCAGTTCATCTAACAGCTCCTCTTGTTGCTAGTGCATGCCTCTCCTATCCTTCTACTTGCATAACACAACTTCTACCAACTCTTCCCCTTCACACATCACTTCACTTTTCAGAAATCTTTCTGGTTTTGGTGAATGATCCCAGTCCTCAAATGTAGTGATAAACAGGAAAATACATAGGCTACAGATGGAGGCTTCACACTTAGCCCTGTTTTCCAGCAGTTTGCAATGCTTACAGGTTCTAGAACAATTCAGTATTAATACAGAGGCAACTCTTGCTGMGTATTCAGGATTGGCATATAAATTTGAGATGAAAACACAAAGTTTGCAAGTCAACCAATGCAGTACATACCCTCTTTGGCTATTACTAGCAATCACTAACAGAACTGCTCTAGYATTAAGTGATAATTCTGCATGGAAAAAAAAAAGGTAAACTGCAATTAATAATCTACCTTTCAACTAACAAATTGCTGATTAATTCCATCTCTTACTGACAGTCTCTATGGCAATAATTATTCCCTGTAGCAAATAATACCTGCAGCATTTAAAAATTTCAACCTCCCCCACCTGATCTCTCTTCATAATAGGGATCTGTTCTACTTTAAACAAACCCATCACACATCAAGGAAATTGCTAGAAAATTCCTTATTTATCATTGCATTGCGTATAGTACATACCCCATGTTCTTTAGCAGCCATAACCACTTTTGAAACAATATCTTCTTCAACAAAAGGCCTTACAGCATCATGGATAATCACTACTTCTGGCTTCTGGAGYAAATGGCTGGAAAATTTGTTGTCTGCAAATACTTTCAGTCCATTGAATATTGACCGGTGACGAGTTATTCCACCTTCTACTACTGTAACTCTTTTGTGGCCATATTTTTCAATTATAGTCTTCATTGTTTCAATATTTTCAGGAGAGACCACCACAATAATGTCAGATATCCAACTTATCCTAGAAAAAAACAGTACAAAACCAGAGAAAGTAGATATGAATGACTAAACAAAAGTGGAGATACATGAAACAAAGAAATTCATAWCAACAAAAATTCAAGATGGCTAAATAAAGCCTCTCTCAACATACTCAAGTCCATGTTTTTGTTTTCTACTCCTTTAAGGGAGAACTATAACAAGGATTTATACCAATAACACTCGAGTTCTGGGAAGGGACTTGCTTCCAACCACTTTGCAGAGGGGCACATTCTGATAACTCTTCAAAAGCCTTCAAAACACTTCTTACTCCAGCATCATGCCTACCTTCAAATAGAACTTCTAAATCATGCAGTGAAATTAGCTAATCAGTTTCCAATAAACTGGTAAATCCTGTGACCATGGAATACTCCATGCAAAGGTCTGAAACAAAGGTCATTATCAAGATAGTAATTGAYAGAATGGTAATGAATGAAAACTGTTACACTTGAATATTAACAGGAAACATTATACTGGTAGATTGAAACATATATACATATTTATAAATACAAAGGTTTCTGCTCTAGGAAGTAAGAAAGATGTAAAGACATAGCTGTGCTAGTTAAGAATAACATATCAAAAGCACATTTTTAGAGATCTCCAAGCTTTTACTGTTGGTATCAGTCTAGCTSTACAACTGAGGGGTTATGTGGGGGAAAGTGAATGACCCACAGACCATCAGATTAAAACCAGTCATAACTGAAGCTARGTTGAAATCATACTTGTGTCAAAGTACCTAGGAATACTAATTCTAGACATATGTGGCATACTATACTTCAAAACAACAGAAATACCAGAATTCAAATCCATCGTAGGGTGTTATTTTCTAAATGCCTATGTAGAGAATATTAAAAAAAAAAAAAAGTTGTGTTTCCTTTCTGTATCTCCATAGATGGTAGAACAGCTTTTTAGCAGGTCAGACAAGAAACTCATCAGATGAGTAATGATTAAAAAAAACCCAAAACACTACTGTGTTAAAATTATCTATGTATAGCTTACACATACWACTAGGGAGAGAGACAAATACAATAAATTGTGTCAACTAAAGTTAGTAAAGCTACTGAAACTAATTTTGAAGACACAAGGAGAACTAAGGTACTAAATATTTCCAGTTCAAATAGTTACAGGAAGAAATTCACAGYTCAGAAATACACAGGCTTGAGATACTGATTTCTTCAATAACACATGAGAAGGCATTGCCTGGGAACTATCCTTATTTCCAAAGCAATGTTACCTGTGTTACAAACCAGTCCCCTAGAACTAAGTGAAACAACAGAGCATCTTCCACCTTATGTATGGGGTGAGGGGGTAAAAAGGGGCTGTAATTAGTAATACTCAATGGAAATCTATTTCAATGAATTTTAAAGTAACTATTTAAAACAAAATGAAGTGCTATTAGCATTCTTAAAAAAAAAAAAATACTGTCCTTTTGTTCATTTTACTAATGGCAAAGGCAGAAAATACAGCCAAACCAACATATTCTCAGCATTCTTTAAGTATWGAAGTTGTTCAAAAGGAAAATCTGAAGTCATGTGGTTCAAAGTCTCATTTTGACTTGTCACTCACCACAGGTCCATCAAAAGGTTTAAAAATCTGTCAAATGAGTTCTGGCATACTCTTACACTTAGCTRCAAAATGTAGCACTTCTGCATGACTTCAGCTTGGAACTAGGGCAAACTAACTGGATTCATCTCAGTTCTTTTTTTAAAAACTGAGAGTCAGTCATTTAAATAAAGTGAAATTCAAGAACAATTTCACACTAAATGAGAACAAGAGCCCTGCACTTCTACTGGCAGAAAGACTGTAGCCTTACATAGTACCCAGAAACTGGACAGCCTGCACAGTCACTGTGACTGTGAAAAAGAGCACTGACACTGCCCTTTCTGGAGTCAAATGAGTATGAGGCATCTGGGTAGTACACAGCATCTTCTGARAAGAGGGGAAGAGAACACAAGTACTGGCCAGCCTGTGATAAATMTCTGCACAGAGAGGGTGGAGGGGCTCAAGGCCTGCAGTGGTACAATACACCAAAAAGTGACAGGATGCGGTCACAGCTCCACCCTGTGTCTGCATAAACACATTTGTAAACTTGAGTATGCCCTCCTTAAACTTGATCCAGACCCAGGTTTTGTAACTGGAGCTGGGATTGAGGGATGTAACATATTCATGTAAGAGCATAAAGGTATCCTCTAGACTGATTACATACAGAACAGCTTAGGTTTTGTCCCACTAAAACTCATGAAAAGTGCTCATCCAATAAAGTATGCTACAAATTTTAATGAATGAGAGCTGTGCACCACACAGGTTACTTGCTCTTCCAAAGATCTCCTTATGGAAAGGTTGCAAAATATTTTAAAGAAGCAGAAAATTATCCATATACACTCAATATGGCAGTAAGAGATTTTTTTTTCCTCCCTCAATTTGTCCCATCCTTTCCTTCAGAAAGATTTCATACTAAACTCCTCAAATCCWGTTTAAAAACACCATTTAAATTTTRTAAGTGTAATATTAGGTCAAGCTTCAAAAAGAATTGGCACGATGCAGAAAAAAGATCACAATGCTGTATCTCAATGTGCTTTAATAACACACAGCTCTAGTGTTTCCATACAACATAGGCTGTAGTCCCAAAGTGCAAAATCAAGTCAGAATTTTTCAAATGAAACAAAATGACAGACCCAGTTACAATCACTTAACAACTTCCTTGGGAGGACCCCATACGAGCAGAAAGTAAATAATGGAGCAGAAAAGGAGTAYATGTTTGGTTCCTGCAGCTATCCTTCCCGTCATCACCTACAAACAGACTTATAGCCTAACAGAAAATAGTATTGTTTCATTAAATACCAAACAAAAGTACAAACAATTAGCTGAGCTAGAATTGAAAGTAAGGAGATCATTTACTCAGCAACAGATTAAGCTATTACTTCAAAACACAGGTTGCAGAGGAAACKAAATGAACCCACTTTGAAACTGTATCACCTAAATGACCTACAAATGTGACCCAGCTTTAACCCTCTCTGTCAGTTCATTCACATACAAACCAGTGCTGAAATCCGACATAAGGCTTCAAGACTCACACTCAATCTCTTGCAACTCTCACTCATGTATAGAAGCCATTCATTTTTTTTCAGAAATAAAATGTTCCTTATGAATTACGTATGATAAAAAGATACCCCTATAAATTTGCTCTAACTATTTTTCACTCATAAGCTACTCCAAAAATAAATTAATGCTAACTGGGCAAAAAGAGCTATCAGAGTAGATCCATTTAACAAAACTGCAATTGTGTAACCTATAGAGGCACTGAATATGAATTAGTCAATAGAGAAAAATATTTGGCAAATAAACTATGAAAGACACTTCCAAAGAGGTGCTTCTTTGGGAGCTTCCCCAGACAATTTCAAGAGACTGTCACCTGTTTTGAGATACTACAATAAAGTAAACAAAGCTCTCTGAAACTTTTATGGAAAGTTTTAATTCCACCAGTGAAGGTATTAGCTCTGTTTTCCTCTTTTATAACTACTCACAGTACTTTCAACAACTGGTGAAATATGAGCACAGCAAGAATAGTAGCAGCATATTTGTTTCACAATGATTTTAAAATCAATCTTTACCTTAGTTTGTTTTCCTCTCTATAGCTTTAGTAAAATATGCATGCATGTGTGCATACAGAGCCCAGATTCCTCCAAGTCTCAGAAAAGGAATTAAAAAGGTTTWATTCTAAACAACCATATATAYACACACACATACAAAAATTAAATGAAGGRAGAACTCCAGTAGTTGTTACAGAAGCAAAACCAAGAAATGCCATTATAAATCAGTTGAACTTGTTGCGAAAGCCTTGCATAGTTTAACAAAAGCGGGAACAAATCCAATGGGAAAAACAGGCTTTTAAGTTTTCTAATACACTTTAATTTTAGCCCCAAGGAAGAGCCTGACCCTCCTATCAGTGCCACTGCATTGGCAACTAAAACCAATGATTTCTCCTGATCCCAGTTTTGTTCACCTCCTTTTCCTCGGGGTACCATGTATGATTATTACTGGTAGGCCAGTGTTCTACATGCTGTTATCCTACACAACAGGATGCACTGCTCATTCATTCATGTCTGCTCTTGTCTCATCTGCACATTTTTCCACAATGATATTTAAGGTTCTCACTACTTCCAGCCAAATAGCATAAAAATCTTTTTCTAGTGATTTTAAAAAGCACATGCAAAGCAGYTGCGCATCCTTGAACCGCTCATGTATTTCTGTCTATACCTCTTTTCCAGATTTAAAAAAGCTCAAAAATAGCCACAGAAGCTGAGATGTCCAGTTGAACAGAAATTATTACAGGCTAATGGATCAATGGCCCATTAAATTAAAGCAGGTAAACAACAGACATGAGAAGAYAAACACAAAATCTGCCACTTCTGGGCAGATTATGTGACAAACTGCTGTTCCTCAATATTATATTTTTGCGCTTACATTGACACAAAGTAAGAACAAGGTACATCCTTCACAGTTTCAGAGCCAGAAGTAGAAGTGTTGAGAAGAGAATTAAAGCCATCCCAAGCTTTGGAGTACATCTGTTCCCAGCTCCTCATTTACATCTATACCAGTCAACACTCCAATTCAGCAGCAGTGGCAGGAAGCTCTGACTGTTAAGAGCACTGGCAGTGGTTATTGCACCCCTAAACAAAAGCACCAAATTTTTACTCTCACAATCAGCTTGGTTAAACCGTACAATTAGAAATCAACCTTCTAATTTTTTGCAGCTTTAGGACAAATATAATACTGTTGCTCAAAGTGCAGCTATTTTCTCAGTTTGTTGGCAGTAAAAATAAAGAGGTTTTGGTTTGTTTTTTTTTTCAGATTCATATTTCTTTCCCAAACCTCACTCTGTTCTCTTTACCAGGTCTCCAATACACTGAGTAGGGATATTATTCTTCTCTGTAGATTCCCATGACATTTTGGCAGAAACTAAAACTGTGGCAAGCTTTGGGTTGGATGCTTTGCCTACTGATGTGCTTAGCTTTGCAACAGGCTGCTGTTGAAAATTAAATAAAGAAAACAAGCAGTATTTCTTTCATAAAGTAACAAGTGACCYGAGGGAAGCCTCTCTGGGTGGGAATGGAAAAAGAGCCACAATTTTGATGTTGTACAAGTTTCCATGAGTTATGAACTTTGGGAGATGCTGGCAATTTTATTTCTTTTACCAATATCCACTCTGTTCCATTTATTCCCTCTCTGAAAATCTAATGGTTTGTTTTCCTACAAGTTACTGTAACACATCYAGAATTCCCCTTGACACTCTACTTCTACCTGAGGTGTTTCAAGTGACACTAGATACAAGACTTACATTAYGTTAACATTTGACAATAATATATTAACTGTCAGTCATATGCCTAGAACTCAACAGCCTTATGAAAAGCCTGGCTGCTAAGAAATACCATTACTTTAATCCTTTGCTCCARCATAGAATCATATAATGTTAAGGGTTGGAAGGCACCTTAAAGATCATTTAGCTCCAACACCCCTGCCATGGGCAAGGACACCTCCCACTAGACCAGACTGCTCAAGRCCTTATCCAACCTGACCTCAAATGCTTCCTGGGTTGGGGCATCCACAACCTCCCTGGGAAATCTGTTCCAGTGCCTCACCACCCTCACAGTAAAGAATCTTCCTAATAYCTAACCTGAATTTCCCATYATTGCTAGTCGTATCACTACAATATAAACATGGAAAGGTTACATGTGCAGCTTCACACTATATAAGCCACCAGCTTCTAGTCCATCAACAATAACTTACACATTTTTACTTTAAACTTCCTGCTGATGCAAGTGTTTTATCATGGGCAATAGTGGAGCACGATGAAGTGCAGTACACCAGTGAGTTCATTCATCCCATCATTGAGTTCATTCAGCCCATCGTGAGGAGTGAGTAATTTTTCAAAGCCTTTGGGCATTATAAAGACCTTCTCCTCTGGCAGTGATAGATCTTTTTTCAAGGCTGATGCTTAGTCCTATAAACTGTCTCCAACAGCTGCGGTGGGCTCACAGCTCACCAAACCAGCCATTACAGCTACACAAACCCTTGAGCTTTGAGGCTGAGTGGCCTGGAACAGATGATCTCCAGGAGCCAGGGAATGCGGCACAGCCTCGAAGCACGGGCAGGGCTGGGGAAGGAGAGCTGAGAGCCGCCCAGGATGGCGGCGCTGGAGCCAGGCCGGAGTGGGGGAAGCGCCCAGCTCTCTCCTAGGACTCCCCCCAGGTGAGGGGGCCCAGACACACCTCATTCCCTGCCCGGTGTGACCGAGTGGGGAGGAACGGAGAGACACGGCAACGCAAACCAGACCCGCCGGGAGTGCCCCGGGCCTGAGGCGAGGGCAGCAGGAGCTGCCTGTGGCTCTTCCGGGGCCCGGCGCACGGCGAGGGCCGGCAGGAGCCGGCGGGGCGCGGTCGGAAGCCGAGCGGCGCCGGGCTCGTTACCTCTCCATGGCCCGCACCGCGTAGCTGACGAGCGGCCTCCCCTGCACGGCGCAGAACTGCTTGGGGGTGGCACCGCCCAGGCGCTCCCCGCTCCCGCCCGCCGGCAGCACGGCCGACACCGACACTCCGCCGGGCGCGGCGCCGCGGCTGCCGGGCTCCATCTGTGCCGGGGCCAGCGGCGGCTCCACTCCGCGCCCCCCGCGGCAGCAACAGCGCAACTGCCCGCCCGCCTGTTTTATTCGCCCACGACATCTGCGATCCAAGGAATCCAGCGCCCGCCCGCTCGCCTGCCCCCGGCGCGCACCGGGCCCTACCGCTCGCCCCCCCCTGCGCTATGCGAGCCCCCGGAGAAGCTTCCCCGGGCCCCGGCAGCCCTGCGGGAACGCCCGGGCCGCAACGGGGGAGCCTTCGGGATAGCCCAGCGCGGTGGTACCGGGCACACATCAACACCACCCGGGCACCGCCGCCATGGGCCCTTTAAATGCCCGGCACCCGGGTGGCGCGGGGCGGGGCCGCGCTGAGGGGCGGGGGAGCCGCGGCCCGCCCAGTCCTCCCGTCCCGTCCCCCGGTCCCTGTGTGCCCCTGTCCCCCCGTCCCTGTGTCCCCCCGTCCCTATGTCCCCCCATCCCCCCGTCCCCCCGTCCCTATGTCTCGTCGGGCGTGGGGAGTCCTGTCCTGCTGAGGGAGGAAGGCAGCGACTGAGGGAAAGGCGGACTGAGCCGTCAGCCCTGCGCCTTCCTGAGAGCCCAAGAGGCTGGCTGGGGATACCTGCTGAAATGTGTCCGTCCCTTCATCCTAGTCGGGGGAGATTGACCCAGGATCATATTGGAATTRTTAAGGTTGGAAAGGACCTCTTAAGTCACTGAGTCCAGTTAACGCAGCATGGCCRTATTCTCTGTTAAAYCATATTTCCCAAGTGCTRCATCCACRCACCTTTTGAACACTTCCAGGGATGGCAACTCYGCTGCTTCCCTGGGCAGCCTGTCTCAATGTCTGTGAGCCCTTYCAGTGAAGAAATCTTTCCTGGTATCCAATCTAAACCTACCCTGGTGCAACTTGAGGCTATTTCCTTTTGCTTTGTCCCTTGCTCCCTAGGAGAAGGGACTGAGCCCCACCGGACTCCAGCCTCCTTTCAGGTATTCTAGGGAGCGATAAGCTCTCCCCTGAGCCTCCTTTTCTCCAGACTGGACACCCCCAGCTCCCTCAGCCGCTCCTCAGAGGACTTGTGCTCCAGACCCTTCCCCAAACCTCATCTTAATGTCTTTTTTTGAAATGAGGGGCCCACAACTGGACAGAGCACTYGAGGTGTGGCCTCCTCAGTGCCAAGTACAGCAAAACTACCACTTTTCTGATCCTACTGGCCACAATGTTTCTGATACAAGCCAAGATGCCTTTGGCCTTCTTAGYCACCTGGTTCATGTTCAGCCACTGTCARCCAGCACCCCAAGTAAAACACAGCAGTAATCAATTCACYGGGAAGAGCTGGGATGTTCCAGCTCGTCTCATGGTGTTACTATGAGCTGTGATGACACGTGTTGTTTGGAAATTTCTTAGGGCTGATATCCATTAAATGGCAGACTAYACCAATAAAATGTTATGATCCGGTTATTAAAGGTTCTTAGCAATACCTCTGCCAGAATGAAAATGCAAATGAGACCATATGCCAGTCAATAGTATGGGTTTTATTTGATATAAATATGAGGGAGAGAGAGAAGAGAAGAGAGAAAGGGGGAAGTAGGAAAATAGGTGGGGAGCACAGAAAGAGAGTGACAGAGACAGAATTTAAAAAAAATATCACCATCCATGAATCCCAACAGTGTTGCATTGATCTTCTCCAGCTGGTCTTCTTGGTGGTGATGGTCCCCCCTAAAGCACAGAATCCCATGGATTAATAGACACTCAGGCCAGGTGGCAATGTCCAGGCATTTCCCCAGGGGAGGGGGCAGCTTCTTGCAACACTCTCTGGATCAGTTGTGTCACTTGCAGTCCTGTGGTGCAAGGCCTCAGGGGAGAGCTTTGGGGGATCTTTGATGGATTATGACCCCCCCCCTCGGCTGCCTCTCACATGAATGTCCTGTGGACGTGGCTTGTAGGGTTGAGGGTTCCACAGCTGGGCCAGTTTGTATGAGGGAGGAGGGGTGTTCACTGCCTCTGATCAGAGGTCAYACGCAAAACCTCCTCCTGCCACCCCCCGTTTCAGGGGGGAGCCTGTGTAAACCTGGCTTTTGTGGGCTGTGGTCTCCCCCACCCCAAATCTAGCCAGGGAGGAATCTCTACTGCCTTGGCTTTCTGGTGTATGCATTCCTTTCCCTCAGCCTTGTTTGTTTTTCCCTAGGCTGAGATGATTGAACAATWGTGTCTTATCRAKGCAGCTTAATTTCCAGTCCAAAGTCCCAGTCACCTATCTTCAGGGAGGCTTCTTGGYTGTAGCTTCTTTATACAGTTTTTATTATAATGAGTAAAACTTCCTATCAGTTTTTTTGAGGTATGAACTATTTCAGTCTCTGACAGGAGGCACAGTCTGGTGATCACCTGTCAAGGCCTCAGTGAGGTGGTAGATCCCAGGGCAAGCCAGGAAGCTGAGCCAGGGGATGTGGATCAAGGTGAGAGAGGCATCAGACCAGGTGCAGACAGAAGGGGCCAACAGTAAAGACTGCTTAAAAGTAGCTCCCAAAGAAAAACGAGGAAAGGAAGGTTGAGAAGAGTGTTGTTTCTAGCTTTTTTCATAACAGGTCTTACTACTGGAAGAACTGGGTTTGTACTTGATAAGGTAGACTCTTTAACTCAGTCATCCAAGCTTGAAGGTGGGTGCACTCAGGACCCTGGAACTTGCCTCTTTGACATTATTTTTAGGAAAAAATCAATGTCTTACATGCAGRCTATCCTAAAATGACCACTTCTTTATATCTTTATATCTTTGAGAGCATGGCTTATTTACAGCTTTTTGTGTTTCTCTTAGCTGTGCTAAGAGTAACCTAAGAAGTATACATACATAGGCCCTTCTGAGGARTAGGTCTGATCAAAAGAGCAGCATGGAAGGAAGTTTATGCGCCAGATGGGCTGCTTTGCCTGTGCCAGCTGTGGACCGGGATAAGTTGATCATAGGCTTGCAGAGGCATCGAAAGTAAGAGCCATAAAATAGGAGTGAAGTGATTCCTCCTACCAAAAACAAGACTTCACAGGTATTCTTGATATCTACAGGAGCAGTCATGGGCAACACAGGCCCATGGGCAACACAGGCCCTTTGCATGCACGGGAGCCTTCACAATCCTGGCAATGAGCAAAATCACATCAGCTTGTACCATGCAGTGAAACATAAGAAGGACTGATGCCAAACATTTTGAATGAAAACATGCAGGTGAGCCTTCTAGATAATGATGTCTCAAAAGCTTCTGTAAGGAACAAACGTATTATCATGGGCATTGAATCAAATGGCCATTTAAAAAGAGGAAAATGTATGACTTATACAGATTTCTGAAATGGACAGATTTTGGAATGGATACTTTTCATCAGAGAAAGCATTAGCTAGAAATTGAGCTGCCTTCCTCCCAACAAGTATTGGTCTCATTATCTTCAGGACAGTTCAGTGTGTGGGATTTATTTTAAAAAATCCATTGGGTCAGCAACTATATTAAACTGTTTATGTTCTTTTTCAGCAGGTCTTTTATTTTCCTTTCTTGGAAGGTATTTCACTACCTGATTCCTGACTGATGACATATATTTGTCGGTTGTCTCTTTTTGGAACTTCCAAGTTTGTACTGTGACTCAGCATCACTTCATCATTATTAGATGCCCAAAATKAATTTTTCTTCTTAAGCTAGGCACYTCCAGTATCCACAAGGATCTTGGATTCTAATTTTTTCTTGCAGCAGTTCTATACAAATGTGTTCATGGCAGATTATTCTGCAGCATTCCCACTTTTTCAGTTTATTCAGTGTAACATATTCTGAATTCCTGTCTCAGGTCTTCATGCTTTCATTCAGAAAGRCCACACTTCTTTTTTGCCTTTCTGTAAGGAACAAAATAAGTTATTTTTAGTTTTGTGACTTCTCACACTGTCCATGAGTTCTGAGCAGTATGTAAGTAAGATATTCCCAAACACCAAAACAGCTGTCAGAACGATTTTCCCCTTCCTTCTTCACAATGTGGTTTTACGTCTCCACCTACACCCACAGTTTGTTGTGCCCAGTACCTTCTCTCTTGTCCAGCCMGTGTTTCCCCGTTTCATTTCTTTCATTAGAATTAACTTCTGTGAAGGAAGAAAGAACATGTGCCAGTTGGTTCTGTTGTTGTTCTGAAGTCCATTTTCCTTACTATGCTAGGGATATGAGACTTGATCAGTCCAGAAGAAATTATATTTGATGGATGAACTTTGATGGATGCAGACTAAAGTGTCATCAAATCTGTTSTATATTATGGTGAGATTTTATGATSCAGTCAAAAAGCACTTTGAAGCTGCTTTTGGCAGCACTTGAACATCAAATGCTTGAGAAGTTTTCATGCTTTCCACAGTCCCTATGGAGTCAAAAGATTCTTGTCTTGTGTTCCTAGCACCTGTTAGTTTTTCCAGAAGCCAGTCRGATTCTTGGGGTCTTGGTTATATTGAACTTATTACTGCTGTCTCTCCTTTTGTTTTCTGCTTTCTTAGACCATGATGTGGAAGGAAGAGCATATTTAACATTCTTATCCATTTATATTATGTTTTACCATGAGTTAAGAAAACTGTGATTTGAGAGTTTACATTTTTTTGAAATTCATTTGTTAGTAACACGCAGTGAAGCACTTTGTGAATACATAATTTATCTTCAATTTTATTCCATTATACATTTTACATTGAATCAATCTAATATTATTGTTGCTGTGTGTACATATTCATGTTCATATATAAACATTTGAAGTAGGTAAAGTGTAAATTTACCCATATTGGGACAACAATTTTGCATAGTTTTTGACTTGTTAAAAATKAACAGAGGCAGCATTTACCTCAA